GGGGCACCCAGGGCTAGTGGGGAACACCCGGAGTGACCTGGGAGCACCCAGGGCTAGTGGGGGACACCTTGAGTGAGCTGGGGGCACCCAGAGCTAGCGAGGTGCACCCAGGGCTAGCTGGGAGCTGCCTGGGATTAGCTGAGGAACATTCAGGGCTTGTGGGAGACCCTGGCAGGTAGCTGTGGGGGCATCCAGGGCTAGTGGAGGACACCCAGGACTAGCTGGGGGGCAGCCAGGGCCAACTGTGGGGGTGTTGGTAATTGGCTGGGGACACCTTAGACTCGTGGGAAACACCCGGGGCCACCTTGCAGGGTGCCTGTGACCAGCTGGGCGGCATCCAGAGCTAGTGGGCGACACTCAGGGCTGATTGTAGGGGGGGCCGGGACTAGTTGGGGGACATCCAGGGCTAGTAGGGGTCACTAAGGGCTAATTGGGATGTGCCTGGGGCGAGCTAAAGGACACTAAGGTCTATCTGTGGGGTGCCTGGGGCGAGTTGGGCGACTCACAGGGCTAATGGAGGACACCTAGAGGCAAACTAGGAGTGCCTGGGACTAGCTGGGGGACATCCAGGGCTAATGGGGTGCACCCAGGACTAGCTGGGGGACATCCAGGGCTAGTAGGGTGCACCCAGGACTAGCTGAGGGGCATCCAGGGCTAATGGGGATACACCCAGGACTAGCTGGGGGGCATCCAGGGCTAGTAGGGTGCACCCAGGACTAGCTGGGGGGCATCCAGGGCTAGCGGGGAACACGTGGGCTGGCCGGGGACCCCCGCCGGTGTCGGCGGGGCACTGCGCCGCTCCGCACGCTGCAGGTGCCGGTACCGGCGGTACTGGCGGTGCTGCTGCCGGTGCTGCCGCCGACGATGCTGCCGCTGCCGGTGCTGCCGGTGTCGATGCTGCTGGTGCTGCTGCCGGTGCCGGTGGCGCTGGCGGCCGGGGGGCGCCGCTGTGCTGCATTGCGGGGCGGGCGGCCCGTCCCCGTCCCCGTCCCTGCGCCCATCCCCGTCCCCGCCCGCCCGGTCGGCTCGGCCCGGCCCTCCCGGGGGGGAGCGGGGCTATCGGGGCCGGGCAGCGCCGCCGGCTCCGGGTAGGAATGTCCCTGCGCGCCCAGATAATGTTATTTATATCGCGGTGCAGGGCGGCTCCGCTCCCCCCGCCCCGCGCAGGTGAGACCCCGCGGCACCGGGATGCGCCGCTCCGGGGGACACGGTGGGGACCGGGGGACAGCGGGAGGCGCCGCTGCCCGGGGACACGCGGGGGGTGCTCCGGCTGGCGCTGCCCACCCCGGGGATACCGGGTGGGGGGGTGCGGCACCGAATACGGGCGCGGTACCGGGGGGGCGACGGTGGGCACGGAGGAAAGTTTGGTGCGGGGGGGTGAAGAGCCTTCCGGGRGGTCTGAGCCTGCTTTTCGCTCTGCTGCGGGGGGCCCGCTGTCACCCCGAGTCCCTAGGGGCTGCTCTCGGGAAGGACGGGGCGGGCGAGTGGTGGTGACTTTCTAGGGACAGCCCGGGGACAGTGTGGGGACACCCTGGGGACACTTTTCCTGGGGTGCCATCCCCTGGAGGGTTCCCCACATCAGTCCTGGGTGCTCCTAGCAGGGTTGGGACACGGTGAGCAAGGCAAGCCCAGCGGATCTTGGTGGGACACAYCACCCAACCCACTTTGTCCCCCAGCTTTCAGCAGCTGGGCAAACAGGAGTTACTGTGAAGAGTTTTGGGGTGCCATGCCCTTGGCCCTCCTTGTCCCARTGCCAGGAGGATGCTCAGGGGTGGGCATTGGGCTGGTGGAATTCTTACCCTCACCCCRATAACCCGGGGGTCCCGCAGGCCTGATTTCCCAGCTTTTCCCTTCCTAAATCTCCAGCTCCCAAACCAGGGGATTGGGGTGCCCTGGAAGACGGTGGCAAGCACAGGAGACTCAGAAAGCCCTGCTGGGTGCCAGCACGGCCCCCCGTGGAGTATTTTATCACTATCATGTGGTTTTGGGGCACTGGCCGGTGATCTTGGGGTGCAGGGGGGCAGCTCCTAAGAAGGGAGCAGGGCTTGGCTGGCACCGCGTGCAGGGGAGGCCTATTTATAGCCAAAAATGTCTGTGGAGTGTCAGCACGTGTGCGTGTCACYGGCTTGGGTGACATGGGACAGTCCTGGCACAGCCGGCATGTGGCCCTGGGGAAGCCCAAATTCTCCTGGCGGGTGGAAGCACGGCCGGGGAGCCCTGGCCRGAGAGGGGCATCGTGGCCGGAGGAGCCGTGCCGTGCCTTTCCATGCCCAAGCGCCCCGTGCTGTGCCAGGCGGTCGTGCCGAGAGGGACCATCTGCTCCCGGCCCTGGCCCTGTGCCTGGCACGCAGGAGGCTGTTGGGGGGCTGGGGGATGCCCCACACGCTCCTGCCCCTTCCCAGCCGGAGCACGTCTGCTTTGTGGACGTGGGGGAGATGCCAAATCCAAGCGTTTTGGTGAAGCGGAGCAATGGGGACATGCCAGGCTGTGGGTGGTGGTGATGGGGGAGAATTTTGGGGTGTTTTGGGGGATTTTGATGAGTTTCTGAGCACCGGGAATGGGCTTTCCGGCAGCATGCTGTGGCTGCGAGGGATGAGCCAGGGAATGGTTTTGAGGGTGCCGTGTGTGCCAGGTGCCAACCGCTGCCCCAGCCACCCTTGGGGCGCAGGGGGACATCCCCTGTGCCTGGCGGGGGGACCGTGGTGGTGGCACGGTGCCAGCCCCTCACTGGGAAGTGCTGATTCACCGTGCCGAGCCGCCGGCTGGGCAAGGCGACGCTGCCCGGGCCGCGGCCGCAGGATGCTGGCGGTGAGGCCGGCACGCTGGCATTCCCAGCTTTCYGCACGCTGAGCGGGAAGAATGACAATTCCCGGGTGGCGGGTGCCGGTGGCGGCGTGGTCGTGCCAGGGAGGGATGCTCAGGAGGCGCCGGTGAGGCGAAGGGAGATTTAAAGGGTGGGTGAGCACCCGCGCTGAGAATGCTCCCATGGGCCTGCTGTGGCTCCCTTCAGCGTCATCTCCTCCTCCTCCTCCTCCTCCTCCTCCTCCTCCTCCTCTTTCTCCTCCTTGGATGCTCGTGGCCATGGCCCTGATACTGCCTTGTTGTCGGGGCACAGTCACAACTGAGGGGTCCTGCAGAGACCCGACACAACTTAGCACACTTGTTCTGCTGGCAGTCCCTGGAATTTTGGGGGCAAAATCCCCAAATTTGGGCTCCCACAGGGCTTTCCTGCCAGGGCCAGCCCGGTGCTCTGGCAGTGGCCCAGCTCCAGCACCCTCCTGCCTGCTCCTGTACACACTTGTGTCCCATGCACGCTCTGGTGTGTTCCTGCATGTCCTTGGTCATATGTGCATGTTCTGGCATGTTCCTGCTCGTCCTTGCTCGGGCACACACACTCTGGCACACTTCTCTTCGCCCTTGTTCACCTGTGCACGCCCTGGCRCGTCCCTGTGTGTCCTTGCTCGTGCGTGCACACTGTGTCACACTTCTGTGTGTCCTCRTTCACACGTGCACACTGTGATGTGTCCCTGCGTGTCCTGGGTGCACACTCTTCTGCATGCCCCTCCTCACACTCACACACTCTGGCGTGCTCCCGTGTGTCCTTGCTGTGCTGTTCACGCTCCTCCTCATCCTCACACACTCCCAGTGCCGCCAGCTCCAAGCCAAGGCCCTGCCTGCGC